CAAATGTTTGATATATTCCTCTTCACTTTGTTATAATCTCTGTTTATGATATTTTCAAATGTTTGATTTGTTTCTCTTCACTGTGTTATATTCTCTATTTTTTTTTTCATGAAGTATGACAAATTGGGTTTTGTCATTCTACAATGCTAGGTTTAACCTCTTAAAAGAATCGGGCTTCAAGTATTAAGGCAAGAAAATCAGGCCTAATTGCGGTAACATATTTGCCAAATAACATAAAAATAATGTTGCCTTTTCTTTTAAAAACAACGTTCCTGCTGATTAAACAATAAAAAAACTTTCCTGGTGATTAGCTGTGCACTTTCATGCACATTTTATGCTCTTTGGATTATGTATTTCTCATGAAGCTGTTGCTTGTTGAAGTATGTGAAATCTGCAATGATTAAGATATCAGAGCAACATCTATTCAGTGATCTTCATAGTTAGGTGAAAGTTGTAATTGTTCTAATAACTTATTCATTGTGGTTTCTGTACAAAAGTTTGCCAAGATGGGAAGAATTTCAATGTAGGCTTTACCCACCTCAATTGGGAATTGCTTGTGTTAGAATTATTGCTTAAACTCATCCTTGACTCTTAGGGGTTGTGTCTGTATTTGATGTCTGTTGCAAATCCAATCATATACATTATGAAAGTATGGTCTCAGTAGTTGACTCTTTCTTCCTCTGTGAAAATGTTAAAGCTCATCCCTTTCCAGGAGACTCTTCTGTGTTTTGTCCAACGTTCATTTCTGCCGTTCCGTTGTGCTTTATAGTGTGAGACCTGAATATGCTTTGGATGAATTTGGAGCTGATACATGATTCGCTTGTTATTGAACTTAGCTAAAACGGATGCAATCTATTGAGTTGTTTCATGGATTTTCCTTTTTTGCTCCGTCATTCTAGGAAGTTTTCGTCCATGTGAATGACACAATAGTCATACCAATTATACCCTTATATCTCGCAAAATAGACTGTAAAAACGATGACTTTTGGAAGTTTTGATTTCTCTGCATCTCCCTATATACTTATACATAAATAACTGATAATGTTGATACTCTCTCTCTATTGCCTTATAAAAGAACAATAGTTTATTTCTCCCCTATCCCTTTCAGTATCTAACCCATTTTCCTTGTTTTGGTAGTAATCTTGCGATGTTATCTGCACTTGTGAAGGATAATACTAGGAATGTTGTGCAACAAACTCAGCAACAAGTACATGGATTCCAACAACAGTTGCAACCTCAGCATGCAGCTGCCATTCGACAGTCACAGCAGGTACGTCGATTTGTTGTCAGTGGTATCCATCAAGTCATATTGATGTTGTCATTCTTGCTATTATGCTGTTCACTTCTGCAAATGGCATAAAATTTTGGTAATAGGTATACAATTGTTTGGTTTGCATGTACAATTTTGTATTGGTTAGTGAAAAGCTTTTTCAGGAGATCAATCTTTGCAGTGAGATGCATTATTTCTAATTTTTTTTTTCTTTTATATGTGGAATTATCATACCGGACAAAATAAGTAGAAAGACTGAAGAAGATGTGCTGAGCCATTTGAATTTTAGGGGTTATTTAGTAGTCAGTACGTGTGACTACATGCGATTGGACTGGGTAGGATATCTCCTTCCACTAGATAGGATTGAAGGATTATATTTGAGATTATTACTCCTGTCCTATGTTTGGTTGCAGCACTATTTTAGGGATATCTTGTCCCTGGGCTTTGGTCTAGTGGTGGTAAGACCACAATTGTGTGGGTTAGGCACATCTCAAAGGCTCGAACCTTGTCGCAAACAAAAGCCTGGTATTTAAGTGGAGAAGGGTAGAGGGACGAGCCAATTATCCACCGAGTTCTGAACCATTTGCCATCGGCTCTCGGGGACATCTCGATTATCAAAATTAATTTAGCGATATTTCATCACTAGTCCCATCTAGTGATTAATATGATGCTGGGATTAAATTTTAAGTTCCAAAAATACTCTTGGAACAAATTTTACTATTTCTTTTCTCATAATTCACTTTCCATCTCAGGGATCCAATTCCATATATTGAATAGGAAGCATCACCAATAAAAAAAACTTCCACTTATATTTGACAAACTATAAGAAAAAAATTGATGCACTACAAAATAAAGAATACAAATGAACTATTAAGAAACTGACATAAAAACTTTGGAAAATTTGAAGAAAATAGAGTTTTAACATAATGCAAAAAGTAAAAAATATCTAGTGAAACAAGAAATTACATAATATGAAGTGTATGAAAACTAGTTGCAAAAGTCCCTTCTAAAAATAAAAAAAACTAGTTGCAAAAAAGTTGTGCTTGAATTTTCCCAAGAAAACAAAGGAAACTGTAGAAGAGTAAGTGGGTGCTGAAGTTGTGGGCAGATGGGTTACATCTTGTAGCTGATGTTGGAGGAGAAGGGGTTGGGGGTGGTAAGGGAAAGGTTAAACGGTAGGTGATTTGCAATGTTAGGAGAGGGAGGAGATTTTGGGGGCTGATGGAGAGGTGTAGTGAGTGAACAGGAAAAGAGGATTAGGACCGGAAGAGACACGGGGAAAGACGTTTTTGCTTGAAGCCTTTTGCATGTTAGGGGCATAAGTGTCTTGTTACATCATCATCAACTGGTATTTTTGTAACTAGGGTGGTAAATCAAAGTATTACGATAAAAGGGAATACGACAATGGGGTAAACATGTCAATTAATAAGGGGAGTAGTACAGAGCATCCAGGGAAAAGAAGCATAACACAATGAAATAATACGGTAACCTATGTTGCTTGGACTCTTCTAAAATATTGATAGGTACGTGTTGGATACTCTAGAAATAGTGCATGTTTGGAGTATCCGACATGGGTGTGACAACATTTTTGAAGAGTCTGAGTAACATAGGCAATAACTGAAAATACAATACATGTATGCAACTAATACTACTACAGACACAAAGCTCCCACCAAGCCTAAATCCACCGAGAAGCGAGTCAAAGTTCAACTACCTATTAACCTTCTACTCTAATTTGTGACCTCCAAACCCTCCTATCATGTCCTCGTAAGCTGAAGCTGCTCCATGTCTTGTCTAGTCACCTCTCCCCAATAGTACTTCGGCCTACCTCTCCATATACCCACTATATCCAACCTCTCGCACCTCCTTACTATGTCCAAACCATCTCAGTCTCGCTTCCCTCGTCTAGCCCACCACTGAGGCCATTCCGTCCTTGTTGGTCTAACCACAATTCCGTAGAACTTACATTTAAGTTTATGTGGTACCTTGTTATCACATAAGACTTCGAAAGCGAGCCACTATTTCATCCACCCCGCACCAAAATACAAAAGTAAATTTATATGTACATATATAGTTGGAACTCATCCACTTTCTTTTTGTTTTTGTTTAAGCACTACTAGTTTATAGGATAAACCAAAGTAAATAAATAATGGTACAATCAACTATTATGAAATGAAATTTTAAAATGATTATTTATAGACAAAAAACTTGATGTAAAGTAGAACTTCAAGTGTTAAGATTGAGGTTTTTCTGGTTCAAGGTTTGGCATCATCATGGTTCCATTTGGGATTCTGATTCGTGAGGGGTTATGGGCATAATCTGAGTAAACCCATCATCAAAATCACTCTAGCCCAAACCCATTAAAACTTGGCGGATTACATGGGTTTTGGTTGGTTATGCCACCCCTATTTGTAACAATCCATCCTCCCTTCCCCAAGGACAAGATAGTAGCTTTGATAAATCTATCTGGAGGCCTAATGCTGAGTTGTACAAATCCGGGATAAGAGTTGGTACAAAATGCGGGATAATTTACCTTGACCTTTATTCCATATTCAAAATTTACTTGATAATATTCTGGCTTTTTATTAGATAGTCTACAATTACATCTTGGGTTATGTGCAGATATTAAGAATGCATCCTCAGATGCAGCAGATACAGCAGATGATCAATTCTCAAAATCTGACTCCTCAGCAACAGCAGCAGCTGATCAGTTCCCAAAATCTGACTCCTCAGCAACAGCAGCAGTTGATCAATTCCCAAAACCTGACTCCTCAGCAACAGCAGCAGTTGATCAATTCCCAAAATTTGACTCCTCAGCAACAGCAGCAGCTTATCAATTCCCAAAATGTGACTCCTCAGCAACAGCAGCAGCTGATCAATTCCCAAAATCTGACTCCTCAGCAACAGCAGCAGTTGATCAATTCCCAAAATTTGACTCCTCAGCAACAGCAGCATCTGGAGAGATTGCGAAGGCGCCAGCAGTTAACACCTCGTCCTGGTATGAGTATGAACATGAACATCGACAAGGACAGGCCCTTAGTCGAAGTCAAGCTTGAACATCCAACTGATTTTCCAATGGACAACAATGCCTTTAATGCAATGACTGCGAGACAGCCGCAGATGCAGCAGTTCCGTCAGCAGCAAATTGCAGCTATGTCATCTACCTATGCTCAAAACACAAATCAGTTTAGGCCAATGTCTTCTCTTCAAATTCCTCAAGTGCAGTCACCGTAAGTAATATTATATGCAATAGAAGTTGTAGGCGTCTAACTACATCATATGATGTATTATCATACTCCATTTTTTTTTACAGGAATATGGGAATGGCCAGGGCTCCCCCTGTAAAAGTTGAAGGATTCCAGGAATTGATGGGTGGAGATTCAACAATGAAGCATGATTCCGAAGAAAATAAGTTAATGTCTCCTCAAAAATAGTATTGTACCAATGGCTAGTAATAAGTATTGAATTAGCAGTAGATGGGTTCTTAACAAAGCTGTTTTCTTGTCACTCTTGTGAACTGCTTTTTTACATTGTTTAGCTAAATTATTTATACACAGAATGATTGCTAAAAGAAATTTTAAGTAGGCATTGTACATTTTTCATCAGGATGGCTGCTGCGATCAGGTGTGTACCATATTCCGTTGTCATTCGGCTTTGTTCCTCTAGAAATGTGCATATGTATTATTTGTGTAATTTTATCTATTTTGTTTTGATTACATAGATTTCTAGGAACTATGCCCCATTGGCCATTTTTCTATGATCTTCCAAGAACTGAATTAGATCTTCTATATACTTATCATGTAGCCTTCTATTCCCAAATATTGAACTGATTTCTTTTGCTTTCTCTCTAATTTTCCTTCCATCTTTTTCAACCATTACCAACTTCACTGAACTGGATACAGAGTCCCTTGTGTATGAACCATCCTCTTCATTTCTTGGTATTTCTATACCAATCTCCTTATCCTCTAGGATTCTTGCATTCAAACCTTGATCAACCAAAAATGGCAACATAATCAACGGGTGACCAAACATTAACCCTTCTATTATCGAGCTCCATCCACAATGAGTCAAGAATCCACCAACTGACACGTGACTTAGTATCTTCAACTGAGGTACCCAACTCTTCCATACTATACCTCGACCATGTATTCTCTCCTCAAACCCATCAGGCAGCTCAACGTAATCCATGTGTCCTGAGTTAGATCGCTTCCTCAGAGCCCAGAAGAACGGTACCCCAGACAACTCCAACCCGTAGGCCAACTCGTTGATTTCACTCTGACCAATAGTGACTTCAGTCCCTAACGCTACGTAAACTACGGACCCTTTGCTATGTCCATCTAGCCATTCTTTGATGCATGTCCAAGTTCCATTGTTGTCACTATTGTCCAATGAAGGTGGCATTAATCCCATCGGAACTATAGGCCTATGGTGAAGATCCTCTAGTAACTTCAACCACTGACCTTCAAACTCACAACACTGACGTATAATAACTACGTCAACATCCTTTATCGTAGCCCCAGAACGATATATGTCCGACACACCAGACATGTTCTTCTGCACGGCATCGACTACCCACTTAGCTTCATGGTGACGAAAAGCCGCCTTAGTTTCAAACGGTATCCATTTAGGTGTCACCATGAAATCCTCTGGTGTTGGTGGTGGATTACTAGAGCCAGTGAGCATCATGTCTGTAGATCCCCAAAAAGCCAAAAACCAAGCGTTAATAACTCGAAAAGAGCCCCTAGAAATCCTTAACCTAGTTGTGATTGGTGCTAACCAATAAGGTGCAAAATCATGAATAACCCAATCAGGAGAAGTTTTCTCCAAGAAAATTGTTAATTCAAGTTCCATTCCATCTAAGGCTTTCTTGAGATAGACAATATCTTTAGTGTGAATATCCATAGTTGCTTCTGCATTTTCTGGTAATCCATCAACATGAGAAAGAGGGATTTTCACTAAGGTTATTGATGTGGAATATTCAAGTGGGAGTTTTGGGAGTCTGTCAATGTTTCTTGGGGTAGAAATGAAGGAAATTTTGTGACCTTTTTGAGCTATTAATTTGGAAAGTTCAAGATATGGTATAATATGACCAAAAGCTAGCCAAGGGAACATGACTATATGAAGTTTGTTTTCAACTCCATTAGCCATGGCTTTAGAGCTCTGTATGTTTTTTCTGTGTTTTGTTAATAATAACAACATAGTCACAACTATATAAAGAGTGTAGACAATGGAGAAAATGATTAAAAAAAAATGATCCCTTATGTTTGAGGGTATGTTCAAAATAGTCCCTTAAGTATGTATTGAACAATTTTAGTCCTTTTGAGTTTGCTGATGGTCTTTCAGAAACAATCTCTCTGCCTTTACAAGGTATGGGTAAGGTTTGCATGCGTACACACCATCCTCCCCATAGTCCAATTAGGAGATTACACTAGGTATGTTGTTGTCGTAAGTTTGTTAAAAAGTTGACACTTCAAGTGCCTATTTGGAGCCATGGATAATTTTCACTTTCTTTTTGAAATTTTATTCCGGGAAACTATTTGAAAAAGTCCAAAAAGTTGTTTTCACAATTTTCACATCAAATTACTCACAAAATTCAGAAAACACTTTCAATTTAGATTCATATCCAAACACTACTCCAATTATCAGATATCATTTTTAACTTAAAATGGAATGCTATTTTTTTCAAAATCTTACAATTTTTATGTCTAAATACCCAATAGTCTCTGCTATATATTTAACAAATTATATTAACTAGATTTGACGAAAATAGTGGAAAAAAGATTTAGCTATAAAGACCAACAAAGTCTCATCAAATCCAAAAATGAGGAACACAAACAACCATACTAAACACTAAAAAGGTATTAAAAATAGTAGAAATTAGACCACCAAAAGATGCATTAGACTTCATAAATAAAAACAAATTTTAAAAATTGTATTTCTAAATGTGAATTCTTGATAATTATCTTTATTCATAGTTCAAGGGTTATTTTAAACCTATCCTCAAGTATAAGAGACTATATTTGTTATTTTCTCGTAGATATGTATCCTTTAGGGGAATATTATATTATTTAAAATAAACCAGTAAGATAAGCATTATTGCAGGAAAAAAAATATCAATTGTGTGACAGCAATATCAAATACTAAATCTAATGAAAGTGATTGAAAAGCAATAAAAAGTTTAATTAATTCAATAAAATTATTAAGAGTATCTCAATAGTATGAATTACTAGATCTAATGACAATGATTGGAAGAATATTATAAATTATAATTTTGCAATTATAGAGGCAGACTTTCATAATGAAGCGAATAATGCACGTTATTAATGTTGAATTAATAATAATGATGTTGTACGAAAATTTTCTATTTTAATGATCCATTATTTTAATTTACTTGTCTTGCTGTAGATATCACACGTAACAAGTTGGTTCTAAATAATTGTTCAAAAATATTTTCCATTTTTTCCTTTTGCTAAAATACTATTTTCTCCATATTTCCATGTTTTTGTTTCAATTAATATGTAAATTAACATTATCATTTTTTGTTGTTGACAAATTATAAGAACTTGATGCCACCGCCACAAGATTTGGTGTTGTAGATGAGACTGCTCCTCTCTTTTAATTAGAGGTCTCAGGTTTGAATATTGTGTATGAAAAAAATTCTTAGTAGGGAAATAGGGCCTATGCAGGCCGCAATGTGAATTCGGATTAATTAGATTTTAATGTGGGTATCAAATGCTATACTATTACAATTAAGAATTAAGATATATGCTTGCATAATTTTCCAAGGTAATCAATTACAAAGAATAATGATAATCAATAAAGAAATTAACCCCCCACTCAATATCATGTAAGAAAAAAGAAAACACTATTAACATATTGATGTACTTAAAGTGGAAAATCCTCCTAATTATATATGTATAATATTCACTTAATTGATTTATTTTGTTGTGGAGGTCCTTCCAAACGAATGTAGTCATATTGATGGCCATAGAAAGGATTACCACCTTTAATTTGCTTCAAATATATTGTATTTTCTCCCTTTTGTAGATGTAATCCTTGAATTTGAAAATTAAAGAGCCAATATAATCCATGTATTCCATGTCTAGCTATTGCATTACTCCTCCCAATTGATGGAGTTTCAAAGTGAGGCATTGTTCTAGAGGGGTTGTTGATCCTCCCCTAAAATTGCAAGGAAAAAAAAAATAACATGTTAATGTTATCCAAGTAAAGAGATCATTTGCAAAGTGATACAAACGAGGGAGGAGATTACAAGATAGGGAATCGAACTCTCACCAGCATGGTGAAAGTTCAGATAGCCAACTAACTAAACTACAAAGATGCACTTAGACTATATGATTATTTTAGTTGAATTCTATTTCTTAATTAATTTGCTTTCAGTTATCATTCTTTAATATTTCGTTGCTTAGTATATATCTCCAATCATATAACCATGGCTCATGCCCAAGACCTTTAATTAAGTATACGGAAACTGATTGTATTGTACAAATTCCAATTGAGGCTTGGCTATATATATTTATACCTCTAAATGGGAATAGGTTGCAGAAGCCAGTGCCACACGTAGTGTATAGGTTCCCTTTGGATCAACACTTGGGAGTTCAAATGAAATTTGCCATGTTGTTGGTATATAATTCTTGCTTCTAGTTCTCCTGCAATGAAATATAAGATTTCAAAAACTTGGAAAACATAAAACACATTTAATTACTTGAACTAAAAAGTAGAGAGAGAAATATGTCTATTAAAGGTTATAGTGGTCTCAAGTTCGAGTTTTGGTAATTTATTCGCTTTTGATAGGGAGCATTTTACTCCAAATCGAGACTTCTTAAAAGTAGACCTTATGCCTAACTTAACCCTAAAAGATAGTGCAAGAGGTGAGGATTGCAAAGATCATATAAGAAATCCAAATTTCTTCATCCTCATCCACACCGATGTGGAACTCAACATCTCCCTCTCCACGCTCAGGAGTGGATATTTGAAGCCTGAACATATAAAATAGGAATACAACATTGGGTAAATAATGAATAGGGATGGATTTGAGTCTGACTCCTCACTTCTAGAGTTTGCTTACTTTTGCGGTTTAGTTATGCCCAAATCTATTTTCTTAACGGGGTATCAAAACAACATAATTTTTAATTCTTTAAATTACCCAATTTTGGTGCACTGTACTCCCATTCTTCAGTGTCGGACAATTCTCACCTTATGAATTGAACTTTATGATTGAATTAGATCAAAAGTTCATTTTATTATTACGACGTGAATCCCGAATGAATCAAAATCAAGTAACTAAAACAAACTAACAATTTGAAGAAAAAAAAAGGGGAAATATGAATTATAATACTAATTATAATTACCTGGTTACATGAGCAAAGAACCAATCTTTTTTATAATCACTAGCACCAACTTTATACACCAAATCTTTATTTGGATATAAATCAGTGTATCGATCCCACAAACCATATTGCCTATATCTGTTCACATTATAAACAATAATCAAATTCATATTTATATAAAATCAAACTATATACTAAAAAGGAGTAATAATTTAGCAAATATAAGATAAAAGGGAAACTAACTTTTGTGTAGTCTTGTTGAATAATTGATTTGTTAGGGCAGGCAATGGATCAGGCACAAAAAATTCTCCAGCACTCCTATCAGGAATTCCAATTTCCCATAAAGTTGGACCATTTCTTGGAGGATCATAAATTAGGTTACCTAAGTTTATATCACTTCCTGTTTAATTTCGATAAATTTTTACATTGTCAGATCACTAAAAAGACATGCACAAACTTTAGAGGGTTGAAGTATGACACATTTATTAATTTATTCCGTCTTAATTGACGTATTCAGTCCACCTATTTGTCACTGTTATATTAAATCCGTAATTTTAAAGTAAAAAGGGGAAAAAAATAATAAGAGAAAAGGACCTTGTTTGACAATAATGTCATAGTGGTATTTGTAATCTCCAATAATTCCAGGGACCCATGAATATAAGTTATAAGTTCCAGGTCTAACACCACTAATATTGAAGTGTCCAGTCTCATCTGTTTGAGTCCAAAATTGATAACCCTGAGAGGAAACAAGATATTAGAGTCGATAAATTATACGTCCTCCTAGTTGAATCATTAGGACTTACTTCAATTTTGAAACGAAGCTAGAGGGATAGAAGGAATCCAAAAATCATAATGTACACAAAATTGACGATTATTCTAATTTTCATGATAGGATGAAAATCTTATTTCCGCCACTTATTGATTGAATGGGCCTTACTTTAGTCTCATATTGCCATGACCCAACATCTCCAGGAAGTGCTAATCCAATATATGCAGATTTTGCATAGACAGGATTTTTGTTTATGTACCTAAAAAAAAATTAATTTGTTTTAAACAAACATTAATTAATATTTTCCTCATAATTTTAAACAATATAAACATGGTAACTAAATTAATTAATTAAAGTACCCGTCTCGTACGAATAATTGACCTCTAATTGTACCACGTCCATTAGCATGGGGATAATCAATAGATTCTGGGAAATCATATGGCCATTTGCAGTTTCTTCTTCCATCTACATGGTAATAAATTGAATTCACGGGAGTTTAATTTCTGTATACTGACAATATATAGTTATTTCACGTCATCGATTTAAGTTACCTACATCAACGTGTAACTATGCGTATAACATGATTAATATATATAGTAACTTGAACCATAAAGTAAAATAAATTAATAACATAGTTTAACGCTAGTTAAAATACATCGGAATCGTTTGGTTGGTGGTATGCTACGGAATATATAATGATAATTTATGTGATTATTTTGTTTAATCCAGAGACGGAGCTAGGTGGGGGTTCATGGGTTCGGACGAACCCATGAACTTTTTCGTAGACCTTGTATTTTTTATTAAAAAATCAAATAATTATATATGCTTATTAACTTGGGAACCCCCTAACAAAAGATTGATAACTAAGTGGTAAGAAAGGGAGTGAAAATGATTTTCACACTAGTGTTGGGGGTTTGAACCCCACTATCAACAAAAAAATCTTTTTATCCTAAAATTTAGAACCCCAAGCTCCTAACTCTAGCTCCACCTCTGTCACTTTCTCCTTTCGTATGAGATAACTTATCCACCGTTTA